TTTGCTGAATGTGGAGGTTAAAAGAATCAGAATGAGGCATTGTTGGACACAGGAAGTGACATCAATACCATGCGGCGTGACACGTAATGAAGATTTCTTCCAAACATTCCCTTAGTGAGGAGACAATTGTGATTAAAGGATTAGGTAACAATAGAGTTGAAACTTTGGGATCATTCTATACCAATGTCCTGATACACGGAGAAGAATTCGCGTTGACATTCCACGTTATTCCGACAGAGACATCAGGTTTTAAGGTCATCATTGGAAATAACCTATTAGAGCATGCGGATATCAGCATTAGCGACGACGGAATAGTTGTTTATAAGAAGGCGAAGACAACATTTTTGATGAAGATGACGCTCAACAACTACTCTACTGACTTTGAGGTAGACACGACGCATATCAGAGATTCAGCAATCAAAAAGGAAGCTGAAGAACTCTTACAGAACTACCAACCAGAGAAGACGAAGACCACAGACATAGAAATGAAGATTGTTCTGAAAGACGAAGAACCAGTGTATGAAACACCAAGAAGAATGGCCACATCGGAGAAGGAAGAAGTAGAAAGGCAGGTAGACCAATGGTTGAAAGAAGAAATAATAAGACCGAGCTCATCAGATTTTTCAAGTAATTTGGTGTTACTAAAGAAAAAAGATGGAAGAACACGAATTTGCTGCGACTATCGGAAGTTGAACAGGAAAGTCATTAAAGACAGATTTCCATTGCCCGTGATAGAAGACGTCCTAGATAACTTGCAAGGAGCTAAAGTATTCAGTACGATCGATTTGAAGAATGGATTCTTTCATGTAGCTGTAGAAGAAGCCAGTAGGAAGTACACGAGTTTCGTCACCCATAATGGACAATATGAATTCTTAAGATGTCCGTTCGGATTATGTAACAGTCCGGCAGTATTTCAGAGATTTGTTTGTCACATTTTTCGGCCACTAGTGAACAAAAACATTTGTGTTTATTATATGGATGATATTATTGTTCCTAGCATTGACGAGAGAGAAGGCATTGAAAAATTAAAGTCGGTATTAAGTTGCAAGAGACTACGGTTTGGAAATTAAAAAGGAAAAGTGTCAACTGTTGAAGAAAAGGGTAGAATTTTTAGGGTTCATCGTAGAAGATGGGAAAGTTCAACCATCCAAAGAAAAGACTCGAGCTATCAGGAAGTTTCCAGAGCCTAAGACGCATAGACAGATCCAATCATTTTTAGGATTGACGGGATACTTCAGAAAATTCATATGCGGTTACGCAGATATCGCTAGACCATTAAGTGATCTGTTGAAGAAGAATCAACCCTTCAGATTGAGGATGAACAACGACATGCTTTTGACCTGTTAAAGAAGTTGTTAACGACGGAACCAGTGCTACATATTTACCAGCAAGGTTGCGAAATAGAATTGCATAGCGATCCAGTAAATTTGGATATGGAGCATGCTTAATGCAAAAATGTAGTGAAGACCAGAAGTTTCACCCTGTATACTACATGAGCAAAAAAACGACACCAGCTGAAGAAAAGTATAGCAGTTATGAACTTGAGGTTTTGGCTGTTATTCAGGCGGTCAAGAAGTTTAGAATTTACCTATTAGGTGTAACATTCAAGATTGTTACAGATTGTTCCGCTTTTCAAAAGACAATGAATAAGAAAGATTTGACAACAAGAGTAGCAAGATGGGCTTTGTTGTTAGAAGAGTATGACTACACCATAGAACATAGAAGAGGAGACAGAATGCCACACGTAGACGCTCTTAGCCGATATCCAGTGGTAATGACGATCACTGAAGACGAAGGGATAGTGAATAGGATAAGACTAGCTCAAGCAAAAGATGAAAATTTGAAGACAATAAAGACAATCCTAGCCAAGGAAAAAGATTATGAAGGTTACTTGCTGAAACATGACATTATGTACGAGTATGACAAAGGCAAAGAACTCCTAGTTGTACCGAAAGCGATGCAAACAGAGCTAATCAAGAAAGCTCACGAGAAAGGACATTTTTCTGTGAAAAAGACAGAAGAGCTGTTGAAGAACGAATACTTCATATCAAAGTTGAAAGAGAAGATAGAAGCTTGTATCAGAAACTGCATACCATGCATACTGGGAAGCAAGAAAGAAGGTAAGCAGGAAGGCTTTCTGCATCCCATTGACAAGCAACATGGACCATTACACACGTACCATATTGACCACCTAGGACCGTTACCATCCACCAAGAAAAGGTACCAACATTTGTTGATCGTAATGATGATTTTTCCGAGTTTGTCTGGATATACCCGACTAGATCCACGACGTCAAAGGAGACCATAGATTGCCTGAAGAAACAACAGAAGGTCTTTGGCAACCCTTTAAGGATAATCTCAGATAGAGGAACGGCTTTTACGTCCAAAGAATTTGAATTTTATTGCCGAGAAGAGAATATCGAGCACGTCAAAATTACTACAGGAATACCCCGAGGAAATGATCAAATCGAACGGATAAATAGAAGTATAATCCCTGTTTTGACGAAGTTGAGTATCGAAGACCCGATGAAATGGTATCAAGAAGTTGAAAAATTGCAGATGGTGTTAAATTCGACATATCAAAGAAGTATCGGTTACTACTCCGTTTGAGATACTGATAGGAACCAAGATGAGGACTAAAGAAGATACGAGAATTTTGGAAGCAATCGAAACTGAAATGACTGAACAGTTTGTGAAAAGCGAGAAGAATTGAGAGCAGAAGCGAAGAAAAATATACTCAAGGTTCAGGAAGAGAATAGGAAAAGGTATAATCTAAGAAGAAGGAAAGCACGAGAATACCAGAAAGGAGACCTAGTTGCTATAAAACGTACCCAATTTGGAGGAGGTCTTAAGTTACATAGGAAGTATCTTGGACCGTACGAGATCACACAGGTCAAGTATCCAGATATACGACGTAGTTAAAATTGGTAACCACGAAGGACCAATGAGGACGTCAACCTGTGCTGAGTACATGAAGGGGTGGGATTGAACCTGAAGATAGCGAATCCGAGGCGGATTGCTAGTCAGGAATGGCCGAATGTGTAGGATAAGGTTATTATCATTTTTATTTTTTTTATTTTGCGTCAATGCGTAACCCTTGACCCTTGATTGACGACGCCTTTGCGCTGCCTACGCCACTGAACTAGAAAGCCTTCTAGAACAATCGAGAAGCCAACCGCGCAAGCGCCTCACGTTTTGACGGCTGACAACGGGCAGTCTGTACTCAGCCGCCGATCAAGAAAGACACACAGAAAAGACGTGAACTTAGACGCAGACGGCGTTATATACACTCATTCAATATCGTGTATTTAATCAATAGACGGCCATCATTCATCTGTATCCACGGACTCGTGATTTCCAACCCCTAAACCCCTAGACAAACAACAAATAGCCCTACATACATATTAAAAACAAACTTCGCGGACGTGCCGCCGAACTTGTGAACAGCCGAAACCCTTCCACGTGGGAAGACATATGGTCCCTGTTAGAAACGCACTTTGGAGATCTTAGAGATCTCACATCTTTAATCACGGATCTTCAACACATGCGCCAACTCCCCAACGAATCACCCCTAACCTTTGCATCTAGACTGCAGACGCATGCAGCTAAAATGCATTCCGCCGTGAATAGGCAAAATCTATATCGCGAGCAAAAATCTGCTCAAAGTTCCCTCATCGAAACGATGACTTTAAATTGTCTATTAACAGGATTAGACTCAAAAATAGGACCTGTTGTGCGATCAGGACATCCCACGGATATCTTGACCGCAGTTTCTTATATCAAACGAGAGGTACAACTCTCATATTTGGAACGACAAAAATTCGCCAGGGCCCCAAACCCGAATCAAAATTCTGTTAATCGAAGACCAAACCCTAAAATTTGTAATTTTTGTAATCGTCCCAGTCACTTGGCAATGAATGCCAACGGAGACAACAGTCTACAAGTTTTTCCCCGAGACAGTCTAACCAGCCCCAGCCTCAAAATTACCCTAGGCCGAATCAACCTATGCAAGTTAGACCATCTACATCTAACTACCATCAAAATTCTAATCAATATCCTCCCAGACCATCTGTAATACGACCAAATGTGCCTAACGCGAGTGCGCCAAGACCCTCTGTAATTCAGAGCAATCCAAATTTCCAAACCCTAATTTTCAAAGAAATTTTAGACAAAATCCTCCCAATCGAATAATTATGTCGCTCATGATTCTTACGATTATTCCGACTACGGTGAACCAGACCTATACAACACGGACTACGCTAATGAATATGACGATACCCAACACTCCGCCTACATACCTTCCCCATACGATGATTTTAGAGTACCCAGTAACGATTTTTGCTACGAATATAATCAAACCAATTCCAGGATTTTCAGACCAAGTGTTTGAAAGAGAAACCCCTGCGGAACCCAACGACAGTACCGCGATAGTATGTGCGAACTTAGCGTCTTAGGCCGAAACATAGTGAGCGTCGAGCTAGGAGTCAGCGGCGAGTCAAGCAGCGCTTCATTAAATCCGCCGTATAGTTAAGGTGCAATTTCGTTGCTACGTCCCGCCGCCGCGGTCGACCGCAACTGCCGCCGCAATGCACTGATATCAGTGTTTTCAAATCGACGCATTTTCGTTGACACGTCTCGACCTGTCGGCTAGGCGTTCAGCGTCGACGGCTGCGCCTTGACTGCTACAAGGAGCAGTCCAGACGCGGCCGCCGATCATTTTGGTTTCAAAATGTCCCGAAAAGAGAATTGGCTTCTGCAGATGAGATTTTAATACGCACGGTGGAGCAATATCCGTGCTTGTATGATCACGAGCACAAAGACTTTAAAGATTTTCAGATCCGTGAAAATTGTTGGAATGACATCGCTTCAGCGTTAGGAAAACGTCGTAAGTACCTATATGCTATTTTTTATTAATTTCAAGTGTACACAACCTACAGTACAGTTTAAAATTGTACACAGTGTGCTTCTACCAACAATATAGTGAATTGTAACATAAAAAATTAACTGCTTAGTCTAAATATGCGGTCGTCCTGCCAATTTAAAGCCCCTTCTTGGACGAAAAAATTCGCGAATTCGTCTCTTATTGCAAAACCATCCGCATTTGCAAATCCTCCAGCATTTCTCAACGGGGTTATATTATCTGGTAGATTCAAACTTACATCGTAGTTGTAATAAGGCTGATTATTTTTTTCCAAAAATGCATCTCTCAGAAGATTGTGCAAGCAACAAGTTACAAGTATGAGTTTATCACACGTTTCTGGCTTAATGGCAATCGGAGTGTAGTAAATTCGAAAAATCTGACACAACAATCCAAAGGCATTTTCAGACACTCTTCTGGCTCTAATCAATCTATAATTGAAAACAGTTTTCTCTTTATCGCCTTTAGCCGCTTGTTTGCTATACGGTTTCATCACATGGGGATGTAATCGGAACGCTTCATCACCGACAATAACGTATGGCAATAGTCTATTTGAACCTGGAAGATTTACACCTGGTTCAAATAACTGACCAGAATATATTTGTTTTCCCATGTCAGATTTCATAAATATGCTACTATCCCCTTCCTTTCCATACGCGCCGACGTCAACAAATACAAATTTACAATTTGCATCTACTACTCCAAGCAAGACCATAGAAAAATATTCTTTATAATTAAAAAATAGTGAACCGCTTTTTTGTGGACAAAAAATTCGAATATGTTTTCCGTCAACAGCACCAACACAGTTGGGAAAATTCCATTTGCTCCAAAATTCCGTTGCATTTTTCTTCAAATCGGTTGCATTTGGTGGGGGCAAAAATATTGGGACCAAATGTTTACTGAGTACTTCTAATGTTTCTTGAATAAGTACGGAGATGTAGCTCGGTGAAATACGGAAAGCAAACGAGAGTGACTTGAAGGTCTCTCCGGTGGCTAAAAACCTGAAAAAGAAATGTATACGCAAACATTTTCACAAATTCACAAATTTCTGTTTCCAGCTGATGAATGCAAATCTCGATGGAAAAACATTCGAGATAACTTTCTTAAACACAAAAGGAAGCAAAGATAGGAACAGGGAGTGCAGCATCAGCGAAACCGCCGAAATGGGCGTTAATTTTAGAACCATCAGTAATGTCAATGAAGCTGCCACCGGCATTGAGGAAAATATAGATAGGGAACTTAGTGAAGAAGAGGTGGACACTTCTCTCGATGTGGATAATGCACTAGTTGATGATGACCTGTCTTCACCGCCACCTTCCGATTATCCGAGGCAGGAGAAAAAACTGCGTCAGAATGCCATCGACAAATCACGTTCTAGTACCCCAGACAGCTATGCAGGTTCAACTTCTTCAAAACGAAGCCAACGCAAAAATCTCTTTTTGGAGAATGTTGAAGAAAGATCCAAACAAAGGATGCAAATGTTGTCTGCTTTAACCCAAAAACCCGAAGATGATGAGATTGATTTATTTTTCAAAAGTATAGCGATGACTGTTAAAAAATTGCCTCCTCATCAAATAGCGAAAGCTAAACTGGGAATTTTGACATTAGTTACCGAATTACAGGCGTCACCGGAATTACATACGAACGAACCAACACGTACCTGTACTTCAAGATCACAACAGAATTTATTAGCGCCTTTAACGTCGGTTTCAACTGTTTCCAGCACTCCAAGTTCTCAGGAAAATGTAGTATTAACACCCATTAACGTCCGTATCTGTATATAATTCATCTGATATGCAGTACAGTTTGGAAAATATTAGATACGGCTGGACTAACCAGTAACGTTTATTTTTCATGTTCATTGTTTAAGCGTTTGGAGTTTCTTAATAATATAAAGTCTTTAAAACTTTGTTTTTTCTTACCTTAACGCCAATGCCAACTTTTCTTCCGGAGATATAGGGTCGTGAACGGTATTTGTGGATTTTTTCTTTAAATCTGTCGATACTATATTCAGAACAAACTGGAACTGTTCCTTATTTAAACGAAAAAATTCACGAAATTTTTGTTCGTTTGTATCCAGGTGATTCTTCATTAGAATTTTAAAATATCCCTCTTCCTTGCGAGATTGGTACAATCTGTCAAAATCTTCTCGTTGACTAGACCACCATAATATCACTTCTTCATCTTCTGCTTCGTCCTCAAGTAAAATTATTTTGGCGAGATTTTTTGAATCCATGTTCACAATTTAGAGCACGACCCCTGACTGCCGAAATTTAGACGCTGCAACGAAATCGCTTGGCCGCAACGGTCAGCCGCAACGGCTAGCAGTTGCGGTCGACCGCGGCGGCGGGACGTCGCAACGAAATTGCACCTTTACGTTGACCAGCACATAGTAACGCGGCTAGCAGCGCTTCACGCATCGACATGAATCTTGACTCGCTGCTCGGGAATTCACCAACGATTTCTTTTGAAGCGCTGCCTGAGTTGACTCCCGAGTTTCATAATTGATAGTGCGTGGTACATAACCTAAAAAATGGACGTAGAATCTTTTATTTTATCAATACGGGCTCGTGAGTCCATTTGGAACCAGCAACTGGCTCCTTGACAAGCTGTGGAAGGAGGTGGGACAGGAAAATAACTGTTCAGGTACGTATCTAATCATGTTACAAATATAACAGAATCAATTGCCTTTTATTTTGTAAATACTTCATTTTATTTCAGTGCATTATGCATTAACTCATTTCCCCTTAATAACTGCTACAAGTAATAATATAAAAGACACAATTGTATTTAATATTTTGGAAAATGGATAGGATTTTCTTTAAAATAAATTGTAAAAGTGTCCCGAGTATGAAGAGCGTCAGATGACTGGCGACCTCTTTGGCGTGGTCTTCTTGGAACTTGAATGTTCTTTGGTTGATCAGTTTCGACTTCTGTCAGATGTCTCTCAAAGCCCTCCTTATCAATTATGGTGTTTTGTAGAATACAAACAGCCTTAATTAAATAATCCGCTGTCTCATGACTTGTTTCAATACATTTTGACAGTAATCGCCATTTCGAGCTGAGAATGCCAAACGTGCATTCAATACTTTTACGAACCCTGAAGTGTCTTTTATTAAAAATGCATTTTTCTACATTTAGATTTTCTGAGCTATAAGGTGTGAGTACATGCGCTGATAAGGGGAATGCCTCATCGGCTAGAAAAACAAAAGGCATGTTTACATCAGTTTCCAGGCAAACAAGCATTAGCCGGGATATTGATTTTTTTGCTCTTTAACAAGTGGTATAACTCAGATGAATTGAATGTAGCTCCGTCACTCTGTTTCCCAAATCCTCCAACATCGATGACAAGGAATCTGTATTTGGCATCACATATTGCTAGTAAAACTATCGAATAGTATTTTTTGTAGTTGAAAAACAATGTACCTGAGTGTGGTGGGCACATTATACGCACGTGCTTGCCATCTATGCAGCCTATACAATTGGGAAAGTTCCATAACTCTTGAAACTCAGAGCTTGCCTGGACGAAGGTTTCTTTCGTTGGAGTAGGCATGTGTATAGGCTGCAATACATCCCACATTATACAAGCTGTTTCTCTTACAATCTTGCTGACTGTTGACGCCCCAACTCTAAAGGCAAAGGACATGCTTCTGAATGAAGCTCCTGTTGCAAAGTACCTGGAGAATCAAACATGAAATTAATATCGAAAAGGCCATGGACTTAAAAAGTTGCTAGGATTAATAATTTAACAAGAACTGATTTTATTAAAAAATAGCAATATACAAAAAATTTCCGCAATTTTTTAAATAAAAAAATGTTTGTAACTCTTAGATAAAATACAGAAAAGGCGATGATTTGTCATTTGTACACTTTTCCTAATATGAATAGGTTTCAGACAATGTGTAACAAAGTTACGGAACATTGTTTAGACCTACAAAATTATGAAACGTAGACTATTAAAATAAAGGCCAAATATCAGACAAAGTAGGAATCATGATGGTTTAGTAGATCTAACAAAGTTTTCAAGTTTTTCTTACACATGTAATGATATATTCCGTATACGCATTGTAATACAATTTTCATGTTTTAGTGAAAGATGCACAACAGAAGTGGAAGTCTCTGAGAGACTACTACAGAAAAGAAATTCGTAAAACGCAAGAGGAGCGGGGGGATCCAGTGCTGACACCATTTACAACTCTAATTGGCCCTATTTTATGTTGTTGGATTTTTTAAGAACTCAGTCAAGACGAGACCTACTTCAGGAAACTTAAAAAAGAAAATCAAATCTAACACATGTATGGACTCAGTAGCTGATACTGAAGGCATTCCTATTGCAGGCGACGAAAATTTTGATTTAGAAAATAGTCAAATTGAGGAATCCTATGTACCTAATCAGCCACCAGACGATACAGAAGTTATTATTGCGCATGGTGATTCAAGTAACACTTCCCGGTCAGCCAGTACTGATAGGTATATAAATGAGGACTTAGTTCCCAACATCTTCAAGAAAAGTGCTATAAAAAACGACAATTTGAAAAAGTTAGTCCAAATTGAAGAAAAAAAATTGGCTATACTAGAAGAAAAACGAGCAAGTAGGTCTGCAGCTATCGAAAAACCCGATGAAGATATGCAATTTTTGAAATCCTTCTTCCCCACATAAAACGTATTAGTGGTGTGGATAAATTACGTTTTAGAAATGAAGTTCACAATTTAGTAATACAATATGCGTATCCAACTAACACAAATCAGCATTCTGTATAATCTGTTGGCACCAATCTCCATGCTCAATCATCTGTAAGTCGATCTGTGTATCACTCTGAAACTTCTACGTCGTTACCAATAGAAGAGGATAGTAGTTGTGTCTTGGATTTGGATTCTTGGAAACCCACTGATAATTATTCTCCATAAAACAGATGTTTTCATAGATGCCAAAGTGAAGTAAAAAGCTACTTGTAATGTTTGAAAAGTCTAGTAATAAATACTTTTATATAAATTAAACTCGAATGACCAATTATTTTCTCAAACTTTCTGCAACTAAAATGAAACTAGTGTTAAATAACCCTTATTTATCTCAACACAATGTTGCTCATTAAATATTGTAAAGTGGATTAGATAAACCAGCTAATACCTGAATATTTATCCAACGAATATACAAATGTACAGTAGGCATATGTGTTTGGATGTGTGCATGTGCATGAAATATTAACTGTGATATTGGTTTATTTTTGTGGTTGAATTATCTACATCACTGCACAAATTGAGATTACTGACAAATAACAATCCTAAAATTTTGCTTAATTCATTTGTACTACTTTTTTGCACCAAAATTGATTTTGGCTTAACCTTTCTCTTATTCCGTACTATACTACACTCTACCATAATCAAAGTTGACTTGGCCCTAATCAAGTTTTTGCATTACTTCAAGTGCTGTAAACTGAAGTTTTGTTTGTTGAAAAATGGTTTCTTACCTTAATGTTATCACTAGCTTCTCTGCAGGTTCTATTGGTTGTTGAACGAAATTAGTGTATTTCGTTGCCATATGAGGACTTAAGAGATTCAGAATGTATTTAAAAGTAGTGTAATCCATTCGAATGTATTGAAAAAAACGGTCTGGATATTTCTTCAGTTGGGGAAATAAGTGGTGGTATTCACCCAATCTGTGTCGTTCCTTATTCACCGGATGTACAGCATAATTCCTAGTTGTGCCTGATAATTGTAACATTTTCAATACACTGTTTTCAAACAAAAACTCGTCTTCACTGTCCGACAACATTTTTGATACTATAGCAGTTTGGCATCGGAGTTCGACGCTCCACTATACGATTGTGAAGCGCTGCTTGCATCTTGATCAAAAAACGCTCTGCTTGAATCGCCGCTTGACTCCTAGCTCGACGCTCCACTATGTTTTCGGCCTTAGCGAATCTCAGTGTCGAGGACGCGAACGCGAAACCGTGTGCGAGCGTCAGCAACACACGCGATCAAATGTTCATATAAATCCTCCGTTTATAGTCCCGTCGACAATTCACCCCGTTGATTATCACAAAATGTATGTCCATGATCTAGATATTTCATTCGATGGCCTTCTTGGGTATGATTGTATTATTGATTTGAAAAATCGTCAATTGATTACAAATTTCAAAACAGTCCCTCTTCTCAAAGTAGGTGACAAAAATAATTCCAAAGCTTCTCAATTTAAAAAAAAGTCCCAAGCTTCGCAATTTAAAGAAAATTCTCAAGTTCAAAATGTTATTTCCATCCCTACCAGAGTTGAACAAGTTGTCCAGCTCAAATCCGAGCTTACAAATACTGAAGCCATTCTTCTGGCGTGTGAGGTAGAAAAAGTCCGTCTACCCAGTTCCATAGTTAAAATTGATTCTAAAGGCGAATTCCTTACTACAGTATTTAACTGTAATGCCATTCCAAAAAATGTAATTTTACCCCAATTAACTTTCGAGCCCTTTAACGAAACTTCTATCGATAATTTCAACACTTCTTTACAAAATCAAAGTCAGTATAACCGTAGAGATGTTATTAGAGATCAATTACGTCTCGATCATATCAACGAGGAAAAAAAGAATTAATTACGAATCTTTGTTTAGATTTTCGCACATATTCTATTCAGATGGTGATAACCTGTCATTTACAAACGAAATTAAGCATTCCATTGATACCACTACCAGTAAACCAATTTTTACCAAATCCTACCGATACCCTTATGTCCACAAGCAAGAAGTCAAAGATCAAATTCCAAAATTCCTAAAACAAGGTATTATCGAACCTAGCACATCGCCACGGAATTCTGCGGTGTGGGTTGTACCAAAGAAATGGACGCCTCTGGTAAACAGAAATGGCGTATGGTGATTGACTATCGTAAGCTGAACGAAATCACCATCGATGATAAATATCCCCTGCCAAACATTTCCGATCTACTTGATCAATTAGGGAAATGCCAGTACTTTAGTACACTGGACTTGGCATCTGGATTTCATCAAATCGAGATAAATCCAGTTGATGTTCCTAAAACTGCATTTTCAGTTGAAAACGGACATTACCAATTCTTGAGGATGCCTTTTGGTCTCAAGAACGCTCCTGCTACGTTTCAACGTGTCATGGACAACATCTTGATGGGTATACAAAACGAAAGATGTCTTGTATACATGGATGACATAATTGTCTATTCCCCCTCCATCCAAGAACACATCAGTAGGCTTACCGAAATTTTTAAACATCTTCGGAAGTCGAATTTCAAAATCCAGCCTGATAAGTGCGAATTCCTCAGAAAGGAAGTAGCCTATCTTGGTCATGTAATAACCCCTTAACCCCCGAAGGCGTTAAGCCCAATCCAGATAAAGTGGATTGCATAAAAAATTTCCCTCAGCCCAAGAATCCTAAAGAAATAAAATCTTTCTTAGGTCTTGCAGGTTACTACCGACGCTTTATACCAAACTTTGCCAAAATTGCGAAACCCCTTACCAGACTATTACAGAAAGACGCAGTATTTGACTTTGATAGCGAGTGTGTTAAGTCATTTGATACTTTAAGAAATGCTTTAACAACATCTCCTATACTGATCTACCCCAACTTTGAAGAGCCTTTTGTGCTTACAACAGACGCAAGCGCTTTTGCCATATCTGGCGTTCTTTCCCAAGGTCCCATAGGTAAAGATCTCCCGATAGCCTATGCATCTCGTACACTCTGTAAAGCAGAAACGAGATATTCCACCATTGAAAGAGACTTCTAGCTATTGTCTGGAGTGTAAAACATTTTAGAGCTTATTTGTATGGTCGAAAGTTTAAACTTGTAACAGACCATAGACCCCTTACGTGGCTTTTCTCTTGCCGAGACACCGGAATGAAGATTAGCAAGATGGCGCCTCAAGCTAGAGGAGTACGACTATGAAATAGTGTACAAGCCAGGCAAGGCTAATAAAAATGCCGATGCCCTATCACGTATCAAATTACCCAAAACTGTTAACGCCCTTACCCATAGTGACGAAGAAGGAGAACCTTCTACCCAATTTCCGAAGGTGAATTTGATATTTTTGCCCGCCTTTACAAAACCATATCCCTGATCGATTATTCCAAAATCCAATTTTCAAATTCCCAACTCCTAGACAAAAGTCATAAACATATCGTCACGTTTTTCAGACAAAACACTCTATCTGATCTTCACGAAAAAATTATCGAAAACATATTCGAGGAAAATCTTGATTTTTCTGCAGATAAAATTAACATCGCGTCTAGCAAAACAATTAAAGATAGAAAATACTATATTATTCCTGTGCCATGCGATCCCGTAACTTACATACAGCATCTTTTCTCTGTAATTTTAACCAACAAAGGTGTATACGACCTGTCCCAACAAATTTACGTTGAAAATAATCTGGACTTACCCATTTTAGAAATGTTCTCTTTTATTTTTTCGGATGATAATATCAAACTTGTCGTCAACACGTCACCAAAACTCCTAGTCCCGATGAAATCCCCGTCATTTTAGATCAATACCACTGTGGTAAGAAAAACATTCATCGACATCAACATTGACATTTTGGAAGTCCCACCTAAATGCTACGCTCTCACAATCCGAGACGAGCTAACAAAACTCTACTTTTATATTTCCAACATTATGGTACACCTCTCCGAATGCACTGTGATTACGGAAAAGAATTTGACAACGCCCCCATGAAATACCTTTGTAGTCTTTATGCCATTAAATTAACTTTTTCTAGTGTCAGTCATCCCCAGTCCAATGGCTCGATTGAGCGATTTTACGCCACTTTATTGGAAATGATCAGATACCATGTATCCGAAAATCCCGACGAACATCCCTTCAATATTCTTCCCCATGCTGTTCGATGCTACAATAGCACTAGAAATAAAACTACCATACGAGCTCGTGTTTGGCCACACCTCTGGTCGTCCGCCCGAACACGTATATTTATGCCGGCAGTACACGCTCGCCGAGGCTATCCGAGATGAGACGAGCGCGAGAGTGTACTTACTATTCCCGCCTCGCCCTAGACCCTCTCGCCTCGCCCTCGGAGCGCTCGGTGTAGAAGCGGTCTCCCAGTGCGAGTCAAAGGAACCGAGAGCGTAAGTGGGAGGTCTCGCGAGCGTGGACATGGTATATTCGGGCGACCTCGGCACACGCTGGTCTCTTGTTGAACAGTGGAATTTGTGGCGTGATTAGTTTTCGTTTGCGGCTATATTGGTTGACATTGTTTATTTTTAAAATGGAGTGGACAAATGATTTTACTATCAAGTTTTTGGAATTTTATCAGAGCGAACCTTGTTTGTGGGATCCCTCTGACGAAAATCATAAAAGAAAGGAGAAATTAGCTGACGCCTGGAATCGAATCTCTGAATCTACAGGCAAATCTGTGGCAGAATTAAAGAAGAAAAAGATTCTTCAATGGCCACCTTCCGGGGTCACTTAAGAAGGAAAAATGCGTCCATTAGGAGCGGTTGCTGGGGGCGATGATATTTACAAGCCTATATGGTTTGCATACAGCTTTATGGAAACTTTTCTTGGTCAAATATATGACTGCCACCCTACCATAAACAGTCAAGACACGGTAAGTACATTCAATAAAATAACTATTACTTATTACTTGTCATACAATATTTTATTTGTTTTTTAAATTCACAAAATATTCAGTGAAATTATCTCTAATCTTAGTCGCACTAATCGGTGATCGACGAGCAATATGTGATACACATCGAATAGCACAGTTTTGAGGTACTTCTTGCCTCCAAGCCCCTTCAATAAAAACGCCGTTATCATATTTATCAAGAGTGGCCGACGGGTTATAAATGTTTTTGAACTAGAACTTTTCATAAGAAAATTGTGTAGAAGTACACATGTCATTGTTAACTGCGTCACTTTTTCGGGCATCAATTCGATTGGCTTTTTGAAAATCGGAATCTGAGAGTTAATATTCCAAAAGTATTTTCAGACAATACACGAGACCTTGACAATGTTTCATTGAAAATACGTTTGGGAGTATTCAATTTATGATCGCCAGGATATGGCTTCATTAAGTTCTCGCTTAATGCAAAACCACCATCTCCCAAGAAAACATATGGTAAATCAACGTTTAATCGGGTAAGGGGCAAGGTGGAGGAAAATTCATCTTATTTTCACAAATATTTTTCCATAACACACTATTTCTAAGTATGCCATCACTGATTCTTCCTTGGCTTCCAATGTCACAAAATATAAATCGATATTTACTGTCTACTACAGCTAGAAGAACAATACTAAAGGTTCTTTTGTAATTGTAATATTCTGATCCAGTGTGATCAGGACATTTGATTAGAACATGTTTTCCGTCGATTGCTCCAATGGCGTGGGGAAAATTATCTCTAAATCCTTTTTCAATTTCTATCCACTCAACTGTAGTTGACGGCATCTGCAAAAAGATAAGAAATTACATTTATTGTTAATATTGTTAATATGTAATAAAATGTATTTATTTTTCAGATTTCTCTTGATAACGAAACCCTCGAGCTCACATCTCAAGAATCAGAATCAGAAATCAATGAAGTAGTGAATGTTGTACCCTCAGCTAAGTCTCAGCAAGCAGCACTTGTAGCCAAACCTCACCGACCAACACCCTTACCAATCTCTCAGCAAAGATATCGTTGTCGCCAAGTTCCTACGGAATTGCTTCAAGCAGAAAGTGAAATGAAGGAAGCCTTCTCATGGGTGAAGAATGTTGTGTCCAGAATGATGAAAAAGAAGACGAGTGCGATTTATACGGTAGAATGTTGGCGAAAAAACTACGAAAATTCCGGAATTTCAAAGAGAATACTTGATGCATGATATTAACGAAATGGTCCTCAGGGCAATGCATCCATCTCATGGTTCTGTCGCCACGCCATCCTGTTCCAATGGACCACCTTCGAACTCATCGCTAATTTCCTTATCGTATTCTCGACCTACATCTGCAAACAGCAATAACTGTTCCTATGCTTCATCACAGGGTATCAACGAGCATGCCCAGGACCAAATGGAAGAACACATACAGGAATCTGATCCTATCAGCCAAGCACTGTATATGACCTTTGGAGGGAAAACAGACACCAACTCGAAAACTACTCATTTCAACATGTAGATGTAAACATTTTATAATAAAACTGTAGCTCTATAAATGCAAATGAATCTATTTACCTTAATTTCATCTTTCAAAGCCTCATTCAGTGCTGCACAGACCTCCGGAATAATCCGCGATATTATTTCACTTGAAACTTTAAATAATAATGTAGGCTCTTGAAACTGTCGCCTGTGGCTAAATATCTCAAAGTAATTGCTAGCCGTATTTTTGGAGTTATTGCCTGTCTCATTGAAGTATCTTTTTTGGAAATCATTGGTGAGACTATATTTAAAAGATACTCAAAATCAGCTAGAGACATTCGAGTAAAATTTTAAAATTCACCACCAGGTTCCATTAACAATTCGCTCAATTGTCTGTCCATGTGTTCCCTATACGAAAATAAAAAATCAAATCAAACACAAAACACTTTATAAAATCTAATCAAATTACGTAATAATGTCAGTATATACCTACCTCGTTCTATTTCGATTGATTGATTTCACCCACCATCTTCTTTTCTTCCAAGGCTTCTTGATTTTTGAAGTTGATATAATATGCAAATATTTATAGTAACAATAAGCAGCATAGGCTACAGCTACACAAATTTCCACGTTCTTGGCCATCACTCGCACGAATCTACACAAGGAGCCGGTTCGATGTTTACTGCGAGAGTATACACGGTGTCCTCGGGCCTCGTGCCTCGGGCCGCCTCGCATCGGGAGTCTCGCATTCGGATGGCTTCGACGAGCGTGTACTGCCAGCATTAGAAAAAGAATTGATGTCCAAGTATGTTCGAGACATTCGGAATAAACTCGAATATTACACTACAAAATTGCCCGCGTGAGAACTGACGAACAGAAGCAAAAAGCAAAAATTCGCTTTGATAGTAGAGTGTCACCCAATTTACAATCATATAAAGTTGGCGATAAAGTCTTTGTGAAACAGTCTCAAATTTCAAACAAGCTTCAGAACAAATTTGATGGTCCATTCGAAATTACTCAAGTTTTTGAAAATTCCGCGCTTAATTTTGACAGACTGAAACCATGTTTTGAGACTTAGTTTCTCTTTCAGGTGCAGTCTGCTGTTTCTTGCGGCTGCCACAGCCCAGATAGACATCAATCCGATTAACAACACCTTACGTATCTATTTTCATGAAGACGCCCCTCTTAAGATGTCCAACGAAATTTGGACACTCCTTGTATATAAAGACTTAGAACTCATTAAGAAAGCACTTGACGATAACAACTATATTCTGGAACACTTATCATATCTCGTAGACAAACCCACCAATCGTATGAAAATATTTAGTGGCGAAATTGAAACTCATACAAGTCTCCTTTATCATATTTCTCGTTCCTTGAAATCTAAATATTACGCGATCTTCGATGACACTGTAAGCGCATCGGGGATGAAACGCGGTCTGATTAACGCTATAGGTACCATATGGAATGCAATAACCGGCAACCTCGATTCATCGGACGATTGTATTAACAAAATTTCTAAAGATGAACATGAGCTCGAAAACCTCATGAAGAACCAAATTTCTGTTACCGTGTCGGTTATCAAGAATTTTAATAACACTATTCAAAAACTTATGATTGATGAAACTACGTCTAATGAAGATATTAAGGTTATTGAAAACAAAATTTACGAAATTCCAGACGATCTTGCATTTATGAAGCTAAATTCCAATTTTTAGAAGTTTGCGAACAATTAATGGAAAGCTACATGTTTCTAGAAGAGACAATTAATGATATTCTAAATTCAATTACTTTTGCACGTTTAAAAATAATACATCCTTATATTATCACTCCTCAAGACTTAGTAAATTCTCTTCAAGAAATCTCTCACACTTTGTCGTGAAATAATTTACCCCTTCCGGTTAATTTGTGTCAGAGTACCTTAATCTTATGGAACTCGTCCTACGCATCCCGTTATTAGAGCCCGAAATGTATACTTTATACAGAGTGATTCCTCTACCCATTCTCGATAAACATACTGGTTTGTTTCATGTAGTTTCCACTATACAGAGATACGTTGCTAAAGATAGCGATTCTCTTTTGTACGTTCCCTTCAAAATTTAGGTAGTTGTAAAGTTCTTCAGACTCAGGTGAAAATCTGTTTCAACCTCTTGCCGTATCCAATAGACAGTAATACAGTCTGCGAAGCACAGTTGTTGCGAAATCCGGTCGTTCTGCCGACAGCCTGCCAAATAGCAATTGTGGCATTGCAAGATTACAAAATCCAAGAACTTGCAACCAATTTTTGGCTAATCACCATATCTAGCCCTCTGCCAATTACGATGAAGTGTGGACAACGAGAGACTACCACCAAAGTGATAAAAGTTAATTCTCTTTTAAAAATGCAGCCCGAATGCAGTGGCTTTGTAGGCACCACGAGATTACATTCTAGATATTCTGTTAGCACCTACAAGAATGTCACATACAAAAGTCACCCTGTAGAAGTACCCTACAAATGCTGTGAACATCTCCCAGAGAAACAAAATTTACCAAAATTAAAACCGATCAAACTAAGCCAGATCGATACTGAAGAACTCGAAATTGCCAATCACAAATTAAACCAATATTCTGAACAACTGGACAAAATTATGAACGAGCCGTTTGTTTCGAGACATATCTCATGGTTCACGTATTTCATCACCACCCTGTTAGTTATCATCGTAGCTTTGTACCTGTTCTGTAAGTGCAGAAAACGTAGACCACTCAGCATCTGCGCATCAAATTATCCAGCCGATGGCCCATCTCCAGGAGCACCAAAAGTCCGGTACATTCCCAGACTTTTTCCTCGACGTAGACCAACCATCCAGCCACATGAAGAAGACATCGAACTGCAGTGAGTGTTCCGTGAAGTGTTTTCACTGTTCAAAAAGTCATTTTCAATTTTCGTGTTATCTTCCATATGATTTTGCCCGTACGACTGTACGATTTGTTTGTTCCAGCTTTGCTTTTAGATGTTATTTTGCATCGCCAATGTACCGCATTTATGCTAAAAATTTTATTTTTCAGAATCTGTATTTTCTGATTTTACTTTTGCAATTTGTATTTTACAATTTTACACTTTACACTTTACAATTTCTATAATTTTACAATTTTTACATTTTTACAAATTTATACTTTTGACATTTTTTTTTTATATTTTTACATTTTCAATTTTTGGCAAAAGTTGTCGCATAGCAACAACTTTTGTAATAGGGGGGAGTTGTTATATGGCCATAGTAACTACGCAGTTATTATACAATGTTGCCACCAGACGCTGTGTCAGCATATGATAACAACTTCTCGCTAATCCGTTGCTAGAATAGTGCCTTTGCTGTTTTCTACTAATTCTTAGTCAGCTTTCCGAATGTATAAATAGGCCCCGCGGCCATATCCTGTTGTTCAATACCCGGTTAGACTCTGTAAATGTCACATTTGTAAACCTTTGTATTTTATATGGACTGAAGCTTCAGTCCTCAAATAAAATTTTTTTAAAAGTTATTTCTAAATCTAATGATTTAAGATATGTATATATACAGGGTGTTTCAGTTTATTGTTGCATAACTTTAAGATTCGATAGAATTAATGCATAAAGTCTATATAAACATGGATCGAAAAATGCGTAGCTTCCGAAATACAGGGTGTTTAAATTTACTTTCTAAAATAGCTTTTTTTAAATATTTCGAACAATATTTGATGTATAACAGTGAAAATTGGTATATAAGGATTTTTGGTACGACAAAACGATTATTGTAGCCGCTAGAGGGCGCTCTCCACTGTACCTGTAGTGTATTAAAATGACCGACAAATTTTATTAGTGCAATTTTTTGCTTTTTGAATACAAAAACTGATTCTTCGCACTTTTCAACATAAAAAGCTCTCTTGTGAATTTTCGTTATAGTTAGCCGTTTTTGAGATATTTCGATTTTTGAGGTTCGATAATTTTTAGAAGTAGGCTGTGCCTGCAAATATTTTTGTAAATTGAAGCCAGAATAAGGTTAAACGTCAATTAGTTGACAGTTAGTTTTGTTGTCTGTTGAAACCTGAAACGTTTTTTTGCAATTGTTAATGCACGAAATTTTGTTTCTTTTACCTGTTTTATAAAAATGCCATTTTTATTCTCCAATCAAGAGTTAGCGGATATTCATTTTGTGTATGGGTTTGTAAATGGAAACGCAGCAGAAGCAGCCAGAGAATACGCACGAAGATTTCCAAACAGAC